TTGCTGTGGAGCTCTGTATACACTCAGACACATTACTGTGAGTATTATTGCTGTGGAGCTCTGTTATACACTCAGACACATTACTGGGAGTATTATCGCTGTGGAGCTCTGTTATACACTCAGACACATTACTGGGAGTATTATTGCTGTGGAGCTCTGTTATACACTCAGACACAGTACTGGGAGTATTATTGCTGTGGAGCTCTGTTATACACTCAGACACATTACTGGGAGTATTATTGCTGTGGAGCTCTGTTATACACTCAGACACATTACTGGGAGTATTATTGCTGTGGAGCTCTGTTATACACTCAGACACATTACTGGGAGTATTATTGCTGTGGAGCTCTGTGATACACTCAGACACATTACTGGGAGTATTATTGCTGTGGAGCTCTGTTATTCACTCAGACACATTACTGGGAGTATTATTGCTGTGGAGCTCTGTTATACACTCAGACACATTACTGGGAGTATTATTGCTGTGGAGCTCTGTTATACACTCAGACACATTACTGGGAGTATTATTGCTGTGGAGCTCTGTTATACACTCAGACACATTACTGGGAGTATTATTGCTGTGGAGCTCTGTTATACACTCAGACACATTACTGGGAGTATTATTGCTGTGGAGCTCTGTTATACACTCAGACACATTACTGGGAGTATTATTGCTGTGGAGCTCTGTTATACACTCAGACACATTACTGGGAGTATTATTGCTGTGGAGCTCTGTTATACACTCAGACACATTACTGGGAGTATTATTGCTGTGGAGCTCTGTTATACACTCAGACACATTACTGGGAGTATTATTGCTGTGGAGCTCTGTTATACACTCAGACACATTACTGGGAGTATTATTGCTGTGGAGCTCTGTTATACACTCAGACACATTACTGGGAGTATTATTGCTGTGGAGCTCTGTTATACACTCAGACACATTGAGGAATTACCAGTTTCTGCTCCCAGTGGAGGTGAAGCTACATCCTGCAGCATTAAACCTGCCTAGAGGAGCCCTGGGAGTCTCTATCCCTCCAATGTCACTGCCTGGGGACTCCCATTCCCATCACTCCTACCAGCTCAGCCCATTACTCCCAGTGGCTGCCACAGAAACCGATGATAGAATGAGCAGCACTCACCTCAGCTCTCTGTACTGGATCTCAGCACCACTTCCGGCCTACAGGGTCACTTCCGGTGATGTCCCCTGCCAGGACCTCCCTGTGCTGGAAGCTCGATATAACACCATGAAACCAGCAGCCTCCGGAGCTAAGTCTGACACCGAGCTGATTCCATACTTTGAGAAAATGAAGTATAAAAAAAATGTTGTCCGTGCTGTACGATAGCCATTTACTTTAAACCCTGTGCGTTGCCGTGTTGGGATTTGTACCTGTCTTCCAGGACCTTCCGTGGAACGCACGGCTCTGGGAGATGGAACGCACAACAGACATTTTAAAGGCGCGTTTTGAAACGTTCTCCCGTGACGTCACCTCGCTGTGGGCAAAGTAAGTGACCTCTCTGTTGAGACTGCGCATGCGTGCCAGGAAGCTGGCTTAACCCTTAGTGCACTGTGCAAGGCAAAAGGCGAGTTACTGGTGGGATAAAGCCATAAGTAGCGCAGTGACTGAGATACAGAGCCAAAACCTTTACCCTGCACGCGTTTATGGTTTTTACTTATTGTCACTCAATAAAGTGTCTGTTGAAAGGGAACTTAATTTTTATTATTATTTATAAGGCGCCAACATATTCCGCAGCGCTGTACAATAAGTGGAGTAACAAATATTTGCAACAAGACGCGTTGGACACAGAGGGTGGCGAGGGCCCTGCTATAATAATGGGTGTATGTTATAGAGAAAAATTGTCTAAGTCAGCAATATATTTAACGACGTTACTGTCTCGTGTATTGTCCCTGTTCGCTTAGAACCTGCAATGACCTTTTTGGAAAACTGCAATGTTTACATCGCAGGGTTAAATCCACCTCTAGCGCTGGTTATACGGATTGATTATAGAACTCGGTCAGTTGACGCGGTGGAATTCGGTGCTTTCCTATTGAGAAGATTAAATGTGTACGTGGCGCTCGACACTCATGCGCGTTAGGTCACTATTTCTTCTCTGTGAAAAGCATTGGATTGGACCATGCCTCCTCTGTGATGTTACTGGAGGAGGAGAGGTAAGCAGGTAAGCGAGAGGGAGCCTTGTGCTGGAAAAAAGGTAAGTTAGAAATGTATTTTCTCAATTTAGATGGCAAAACAATATTGTATTCCTAGCTTATAGTGGCCCTTCACTGTTTGATGAATATCTCTGTAAAGTGTGAGTTTTGGAAATTTTAAGTACATATCACATTATAAGCCAAAAACACGGTTAATTTTAGGCAAAATGTAGCAAAATTGGACTAATTTCCAAGTCAGAACTCTTTACATTATGTAATTTTAATTTTCAGTGTGCTACCATTTTGTTGTGTGAGTTATACTCTGACTAGCTTGAGAGCTACGGAGAACTTCTACCCTTATACCTGGGGTTAATTCGCTGCACTGCAGTTAAAAAAAAAAAAAAAAAAATTACAATATTTAGGTTAAAATGGCTGATTTGAAAAAAATATATATCTGCAATTCAGGGGATTGATGGGAGTTGTAGTCCAAAGCAGCTTGGAGCGATAGGAGTTATTATCTGCACTTTAAGACAGCTGGAGTACTGTAAGATTACTCCTCCAATAGCCTGTCTGAATTTACACTATACTGATCCAGCATTCAGGCAGTGATGAGGTTAATTAAACCAGTCAGAAGCAGTGGATAACAGAGGGGTGGGTTTCACTAATCATGTGATCGATTATAGTGCCTGCATGTGAGCAGAAGCAATGGAGGTGAGACAATGTACTTACTAACTGCCCCTGATTAGCAGGACTCTGTATGTTTGCATTGTATAACGTAACAAAACTCACTACAGCTATAAATACCACAACCGTGCACGTCTAAGTGAGTTCCTATTCAAGCTGAGGATTTGTGTTTTTTTTTTTCTTTCGTTTTGACTCGTGTAACTTAAAGTATTGAATTCCACGGCCGGTGCTATATAATTCCTGTTTAAATGAATGAGTCGCCAAGAATTACTTGCTCAGTTTTTAATAATAAAAAGCATGAATAGGTCATCCAGCCGTTTAACAGTCCTTTCTATTACCCTGTATAACAGCTACGTCTTCCCCAAAGTCCCTGTTAGTGTTTCTAGGATAGTAGTCGGCAAACTTTGACACTCCAGATGTTATAGATTGCATCATCCCTATGACTGTACTAACATTGTTGTAGATGTAGTCCGCAACATCTGCAAATGTGTATTCCTTGCGCTATAGTACCCTAGTCACTGTTTAAGTGAATCCACTTCCTCCTCGAGAGTTAAAAGTAGCAAATCCTGTGCTACTGTGTCTCTGCGGCTGGTCCAGTCTCTTTGGTTGAGATTGATGAGCTCAGCCAATACAGTGCTTTCCTATAAATGGGGAATGTACAGTCTTTTGTAGTAGCCACTTAGCCACAAACGCTGGCCAAAGTTAACGTTGATATTTGTTTTTTTTTTGCATCTTTTTACACTAAAACTGCACTTTTACTGGTGATTTCATCGTCGTGATAAGTTTTACTGTTTTAAACACTCATATTGGTGTTGAGCGAAGTCTCCCGAGTATAACAATACCCCCATGTACAGATTTTATGGTGTTTTGGAAAGTTACAGGGTCAATATTGGGCTTGCCCAATTCAGTTTGTCAGATTGTTTTGCTGGGTCTATATTGTCTTTTGAGACTATATGGTACCCCAGGAATGTGAATTAACCCCATCATGGCATACCATTTTCAAATGTAGACAACCCACGGTATTCAAAATGAGGTAGTTCCAGTCTTTTGTAGTAGCCTCTTAGCCACAAACGCTGGTCAAAGTTAGCGTTTTTATGTTTTTTTAAAAAAAAATTTAAAACAAAAACTGAATTTTTACTGGTGATATCGTCGTGATAAGTTTTACTTTTTAAAACACTCATATTTGTGTTCAGCGAAGTCTCCCAAGTATAACAATACCCCCGATGTACAGATTTTATGGTGTTTTGGCAAGTTACGGGGTTAAATAGAGGGCTTGCCAATTAAATTCTCTGGACTGTCTGTCTAAGTTGCCAGGCAGGTCCCTCAAATTATAATTAATACAATCAAATAATTATGTAGTTAATAGTTAAATATATTTGTAGTATGTGTGTATGTATATATGTAAATATAAAAAAGCAATGCGTCTGGCACTCTGCCTGAAAAACAATCAGTGAACTTGAACCAAAGTCCTGCTCTGCGCTGGATAAATATAAACAAACAATAAAGATGGGAGCACTCAATGGATTTCCAATGAAATGAATGTATTCAGATGTTGCCAATAAGGATCAATGTTCGCTAGGTTGAGTGCATTGAGTGCTCTCATCTTTATTGTTTGTGTGGGTCTATATATATATATATATATATATATATATATATATACACACACTTCTATTTCCTATATATGTATAATATATTATAATTAAAGCATTTTATAATATATTATATATAATGCATATATATGATTACATTATATGTGTATTTTGAGATATATGTATATATATGCATTATATATGTGTAATATATTATAAAATGCTTTATTTTATAATATATTCTACATATATATGTATAATATATATTTTTTAATTATTATTTTTTTTTACTTTTTAGCAGGCTGGGGGACTGCCTGACAGCTCAGACAGTCCCCCTGCTGGCAGCTCCATAGACCCCTATTGCGGCCAATACTAATACGTCCGTGGTTGTTAAGGGGTTAATCCTGCAATAAACCATTGCCATTCTGCAGAACAGCAACGTTGTCAGTGGTAGGGTTAAAAAAGGGGGCACAGGATACCCAGACTACTTCATTGAGATGAAGATATTGGGGTACCTATAGTGCTCCTTTAATACGTATGGAGAACTTTGGTGATTAGGGATAGACATTGTGATTTATTAATAATTGTGAATAATTAACAAGAAGATAGCAAATTCAAGGTCCAAATAGTTAAACAGAAAAATTTGCCCTCTTATTAAAAGCGTATGTGTCTCTTTCAGGGGTCTTTACATATTTTACAAAGACCCCCGAAGGTGACATCTCTGGTTAGGGCCCGGTGGCTGTGGATTGCACTGAAAGGGAGCTTTCTGAGGACCTTATTCTGCTCCTGATGCTTTATCAGCCAAGAGCCTGGTCAGTGCTCTACACTTAGGCATGCACGAGAGCACAACACTGAGATCTATGGTGGAGACTGATGGTGCCTCAGTGTATCACGAGTGACAATGCCTGAATCCCACAGTTGTCACATTTGAAGACTGCTGAGATTGGAAAAAAGTTGACGGTGGAGCTCAGCATCTTGTCAACCTTAGTCCATCTCAAATATAAAAAAATACAATCTACAAAAAAGAATAAAAATAGAGAATATATAGTGTAGTAGATTTGAACACCAAATTTTGCACTAGTAAAATTGCACTCACAAGATGAGAGAGTAGTAAGGGCATATAACGGTCTTAGTCCATCTCAAACCTGCACATAAGACAGTGAAGACCCTGCTTTATCTTATGGTACCTTTTGGATAGTTCCCTAATATTCCAGCCCAGTCAGCCTGAGTGTTTCATATAGATATATACCTTTGTAGGTGATAGAGCCAATTTGTTTTCCTGTTTTGCTACTTCGACTTAAAACAACACATACGCCTTTCCAGACACACACACAGAGTTTTAAGAAGATCTTAGAAAGGCCTTGCATCAGTGATAACTTCACTCATTTTGTTTATGTGTAATTCCTTGTGAAATAGTTGTGCAGTTTAATCAGTAAAGATTTGGTGTAATTTCCAAATGATGCTTGCACTAATATGTTCTCCTCCCTTCTCTCTACGTTCTTCAGGTCCGTACCTGCCCAGTAGGTACCTATCACATTCCGGGGAAACCTCACTCAGTACATATATTGTTGGAAGGTTACTGCAAGGATGCCGGACATAATCAGTTTGTGGCTGATGGCTCTGTCACGCTTGTACGTGGCCCCCTTACTGTCTTGGTGGACACTGCTGGCCCTTGGTCACGTGATAACCTTCTTGAATCTCTACGGTGCCAAGGTGTGACCCCTACTGATGTTACTCACGTTATATGCACACATGGCCACTCAGATCATGTGGGAAACCTCAATCTTTTCCCAAAGGCTGAGATACTAGTGTCTTATGATCTGTGGCGTAACGGTGTCTATGTTGCCCATGACTTCCGTGGTGGTGTTCCTTATCTGTTGCCTGGAGGGGAAGGACTGAAAGTGATACCAACACCAGGCCACACCGGTAGTGATACAACACTCCTTGTTCCTGGAACCACTATGGGCACAGTGGCAGTAGCTGGAGACCTTTTTGAAAGGGAAGAGGATCATGATTCCTGGCGTCAATTAAGTGAAGATCCTGAAACTCAGGAAAGGAACCGGACAGCTCTTCTGAAAGTTGCAGATGTAATTGTGCCGGGACACGGACCACCCTTCAAGGTCATAAGGACTGAGCAGTAGACTGTGAAACATTTGTTTATGTGGGCTCATATCCTTGCTATTGTTAAAACGGACATGAATCTCCAGGACTTGAACCAACATGCTTTATTTTTTAGCATATTGTTCAAACAATAGGCAGCATAAAACCAATTTTTTTTGCAGCGGTTATTCAACAAGGAGCTGCACTGTCTTATCTCTGTTCACAAAGTTGATATATCATTGCCTATGTAGACCTCTTATTATTATTTATATAGTGCCAGCAAATTCCGTGGCGCTGTACAATGGGTGAGACTGTACTCTGAGATAGAAACTATGCATTCATACCCTGCCACTCCACATATGTGTATGTAGAACGCGGGAATCAGACTTAGGTGCTGCCAAGGTTTTCATTTTGTCTGAATATATTAGACAAAAAAAAATTGTTTTCTCTGAACTGAATTTCGTCTATTTGTTCATTAGTTTTTAGATTAAATTTGGTCATTATTTTTGTTTCTGATCTGTGTCGCAGGCCACAGCTGCATCTTGCAGTTATTTAGTAGTTAATCTCTAAATTGGCACCCTTGTGGGATTTGATGTAAACAAATCTCTTAACACCCACAAATGCAGAGTAATAAATAAATAAATGAATTAACTTTGCACGAATTATACAGCTTTCCTAGGATCACCTCTTTTAGTTGGTGGCCTATGACAATCTAAAATATGGGATAAAGCTGAATATCTAAAAGAAAAAGTATCAGAACATTGTAATAGGTCTTAAAATAAAAATGACACTTTTACTGGAAACACTCACAGAAAAGCAGTGTATATTCAGGCCTTAATGGTGCCTCTTTGTATCCCTTGGAGTCACCTATTCCAGCAGACAGATATAGGAATCTGGATTGAAAGTTAGTTAAAATTTTTATTACAATACACTTGTATAAAAAAGCTAGTATAGGTCCTACTCGTTTCGTTACATAAAAGGACCTTCTGCAGGGACCATATAATTAAAAACAAACAATCAGTGACAAGAGATGGCTTGTAACTTCCCTGCCATAAATCCCTTAAATAGGGCTAATCCCAGATGTCCACTTGGTATGGTGGTCATCTTCCTTCTGGATTGGTTCCTGCACCTACAGCTTTCATAATGAAGTGGTGGACAAGATAGCGGCCATAGATGCCACCCAGAACCATTTCATGTAACTCATGGCCTGTGACGGATTGCCTGGTCACTTTTAACAACTGGCGCCGGGCTCTAATCACCTTCTCCATAAAATAGTTATTTTTCACAGTACTAACCCCTTGATCAGAGCTTTCTGGAGATATAATAAACGTGGGCATAACTATAGGGGAACATATGTTTTTATGATTATTATTGTTAGGCACCCTGGTGCCTGGTAAGTAATTACATTTCCGTGTCCTGAGTCGTCAGGTTGTGCAATGTCTATTGTTTTCATAATAAACCCCTTTTGGGAATGTGTGTGTATGTGTATATATATATATATATATATATATATATATATATATATACCTGTGTGTTTTACTGTATCTCAGAGGAAATGGAAAAGCTATAATCACTTTGGCTACTCTGTCCCAGGAGAATGGATACTTGGCAGAGATACTCATCCTGATTATAGGGGCTCTGTTACATCTATATTCGATGCGGAGGACCGCTCCTACCACAACCATATCAGTGTACGTGGAGTGCCAGAATCCATCACAGCTGAAGACCTCCAGGCTTTCCTTGGGGAGATAATTAGAGCAGTTTCACTGGCTCTCCCTAAACAGAAATGGGTTATTAACAGGGCCTGCTGCCTCCCCAAGCTGCACAATCTCCTAGTCGATGGTAATTACCTAATAAAATTTCTACTTACTATGCGGGGCAAGCTCAGGTACGACTACCCCCAAATTCTTAGTTTTGTACTCCCCTTCTAGGCACACTCCCAATCTGGGAATTCTGGGAGCTGCTGGCCACTCACGATCTACACAACACATGGAAGGATTATGCCCCTCCATCTTTTACTTCATGGTCCACAAATGGTAATCATATACCGATATGTGTCTGGTGGATGCATACATCTTACAGGCCCTAGTGCAAGTGGCAGTTGGACAGGTCACATAGTGGTCACACAATAACCTCCTTTACAACCCATTTCCTGGCTAGGGGTCGAGGACTCTGGAGACTCAACTACTCCATTTTGATCAACCATACAATCACGAAGGCCATAACTCATGCAATTCGACAATTTTTCACCTTCAAGGAAGAGCAACTGAAAAAATCCCTTCAAACCTTGGAGGAAAAACAAAAACACACCCCCACCTATTGCCCCAATTAGCATCGATTCGATCAGATCTTCAGTCGTTATCACACTAAAACACACATACTGTTCCCAAGGTAATCGAGCAAGAAAGGTGCTAGCATGCAAGTCAAAAGCTAGACAACAACAAACAAATATACCATATCCACTGGATGCACAGGGTTCTAAAATAAGAAACCCAGCCAAATTAGTAAACTTATTTGCATATTTATATAAAAACGTTTACTATCTGCAATCAGACCCGACCACTTACTTACCCACAGTGGCAGACATAAGTAACTACCTGCAGAAATCACACAATATTGAGTGGAAAATACTTCAATAAAACACCTACACTTTCACCGCAAGCTTACTCTGTAAAAGTCCTTATAATGTACACATAAACAACAACAACCACTGGTTGGGTAGGAATTATATGACTGAGGTAGATATGCTGATCTAATCACTATAAATGCATACCAATATGTGAAGAGTACAAAATTTCCCAAAATTAGGAGTAAATTGGATATACAATAATCTTCGTAATTTAAACATATAAAAACATTTAGTGTAGATTGTTCATGCTAAAATAATTTTATCACATGACAGGAGGCTTCATATTTTGCATAACTTTCTTTACTTTATGCCTCCAGCAGCTCAAGTCAATTAATAAACTTTAAACCAATCAGTAACAGGCATCACATCCATATATAAAACCCTGACAGACACATGACTTCCTCTTTCTTTGCTGCTTACCATCCAAGGCACCGGTCAGAGTATTTTGCTCCAAACTGTTTTACTGATATTGCAAATTGTCATTAGTTAATCATTTATTGCTTAACATTAAAGGACCACTATAGTGCCAGGAAAACATACTCGTTTTCCTGGCACTATAGTGCCCTGAGGGTGCCCCCACCCTCAGGGTCCCCCTCCCGCCCGGCTCTGGAAGGGGAAGGGGTAAAACTTACGCACTTGGCGCTGGGCGGGAGAGCTCTCCCTCCTCCCTCTCCGCCTCCGTTACTGCGCCCGCGCCCGGCTGAATGCTTTAGCAGCGGCAAAATGCAGCGGCGCACATTCAGCCCGGTCTCGGCATTTTGTGCTTTCTATATGGAGCGCAGCGTGCTTTCTCGCATAATGATTTTCACGGTGAAGCCACCATAGCGCCTCGCTGTCAATGGGGCGGCTCGCACTAGAGGGTAGAGAGGAAAAGCAACCCATTCATAATTATAGCAGTTTCTCTGAAACTGCTATAATTATGAAAAAATGGGTTAACCCTAGAAGGACCTGGCACCCAGACCACTTCATTAAGCTGAGGTGGTCTGGGTGCCTAGAGTGGTCCTTTAAGTTTTGCTCCAAACTGGTTTTATTAATATTGCTATGGTCACTGTAGTTAGACACCTTATGCTAGACATTCAGTTTTAATCCAAACTGGTTTTCTGGCTATTGCAATGGTCACTTTAATTAAACTTTATTACTTGACTTTCAGTTTGCTCCAACTGTTTTTATTAATATTGCGATGGTCACTTTAGTTAGATTTTTAATGCTAGACATTCAGTTTTGCTCCTAACTGTTTCTGGATATGCATGGCCACTTTAGTTAAACTTTATTAGCTTGTCCTGCAATTTTGGCTTAAACGTTTTTCATTATTTTGCACTTGCCTTCCATTTGGACTTGTATAATGTGATATTCTCCCTCTGTTACCCTTCCCCCAAATTATCCCTGTATTTTCTGTTTTATTAGCCTGTTTGGTTTTCTGTTGCTGGCACCTTTTCTTTCCTATGCTTTACTCTGGTCTCGCACGGATCACGGCGTTTTACCGCGAGCACGCTTCTTTATTCACTGGTACTGGGACTTCAGGGCAGGTCTCTGGGGGTTGGGGGTGTCGGGGGGACTTTGTTCCATACCGGCAGGCCGCGATCAGATCCTCGATCGTGGGCCACACGGCACTATTGCGCGCAAACGGCGGCCATCTTGAATCTCGCGGCACTCGCGAGATTCACGTCGGCCATGTCGTTTAGCCAGTTCGTGATTCCCACGAACTGGCAGCTAGATCTGTACTGTTTAAAATATTTTTCCTGCGAAATAAAAGTTTTACATGTACTTTTGAGCTCAATACTAATACATATCATGGGCATGTGGAATAAAGGTTTTATATGTACCTTTTCTGGAAGATTATGAATGGACTGTTCACTGCTGAGCTCTATACTGTCTTATTTCATTGGCATGTGAAATAAAAGTTTTATATGTAACTCTGCATGAATATGTAGGACTGATCCCTGCTGTGTGCATATAGTGGATGCAGTACTCATGTCTGCTGGCAGTTTGCTCTATTCTGTTCTATACAATTGACATGTTGAATAACAGTTTTATTGTACGTCTGGAGGATTATGAATGGACTGTTCCCTGCTGTGGGCATATAGTGGATGCATTACTCTATCTGCTGGCAAGGAAATTAAATAGAGCTAATAACTTACTCAGCTCCCTACTCCCACTGGACCTC